CGAATTTATTTATTAAACTGAATAAATAATTTAAGACCAAGTCGAGTGTGTGACACTCTGTCCTTAAGACAGATTCGTCCCGCTACGGTGCTTACGCGTTGAGTGGCGTCTATCTCTCAGGATACAATTATCTTCACAAAATTGTTGTAGCACACCAAACAAAATTTGTACGTCGAACCAAACCTGGTGTTCTATACTCTCTTTAATTATTCTAAAACTAAAATGAAGAATATGCAAAAATAGAAAATTTTGGACAACAATGGAACAAAATTTCAGACTATTTTCTGACTGGTTTTTTCGATGTCTCTAAAAAAAAAAAACAACCTCTACAGATTGCTGGAATATCAATTCTATTTATAGGCAACAAAAGAGTCCGTTTGAATAGTCAATAGGTGTCTTATTCAAATTAACCGATTTGAATGTAAACTTGACCGTGTTTCAAACAATTTGAAAGGTATGAAGTGCAACAGTTACAAAAACTGTTTGAAACATTAATAAATAACTATTAGAATAGTTAGAAAAGTTAATTCATAAAAAAATCTATCACTTGAAAGAAATAACTTTATAAACTATTTAAATAGTTTAATCAAATTTTAGGAATACAATTAGGAAATAAAAATTTGAATTAAGAATTAAATTAAAACTCCCAAAATTACAAACCTAGGAAACCACTTAGGAACCCAAAATTTTGAATTTAGAATTTAAATTAAATTCCCACAATAATTTTTATTGAAAATTCAAATGGAAATTTTATCAAAGAATTAATGTCTAAACCGAAAACGAACGTCATCTTCCCCATCACTCATAAATGGTTTTTAGACGTCCGTTTTCACCACTTCACCTTTTCGGACCCCCCAAAACACGTTTGCGCGTCCACCCAAATTGGGTTAAAAAAATATGCCTATATAAAAACCATGTTTTTCCAACATTCCCCCACAGAATGGAATTTGACGCGAGAGGAAAATCAACAACATGATCTAATTACAGAGAGTACAGAAATTGAAAATAATTTCTGCAAAGGATAGGTAAGCTTTGGCTTGAACCTTCCCTTGTGAGACACTATCGGAATTTTACTAGCTAACCATGAACATTGCATGTCTTGAACTGTTCAGCCGTTTGTGTAAACCAAGACAATTAGAACTCACAACAGATTATCCCCCAGACACAGTTTAGTTTCTCACTAATTGTGTCATTTTGCCCCTGAAACAACCGGTCTTCATGAGTGCTCTAAAGACTTGTAGCCCTTTCACCAAATCTTATTAGAAACCGGCCCAGTTCACCCACTCACATAGGTGATCTTGGATGAAAAGTATCCTTAGCCATTACTCCCACTAGGTTTACCTAGATATAAGAATCATTAAAATTTTACCTTAACCCTCAACGCTGCAGAAACATCACTTATTTATCATAGAAATGGGTAGAGTTAGACTCCACAGTTGATCCTTGTCTGAGTCCCAAGCAACCAACTCGATTGTCCCTTTGAGCCTAGACGTGGATCTCCAGTCAACTAGAGTTGCGCGTTTGCCGTTTGTGTAACTCTTATTTATAGGCTTTAGTTCCCATCCCCTCGATTGAATTCTCAACAACTCTCTTGCAACCCTTTGCGTTAGTGGATCCGCTATTTGTCTTTAGACTAACATATTCTATGGAAATAATTCCATCTAGAGAGTAGTTGTCGTACGCCTTATCTACTAGCGATTCAACTGTCACTTACAGCTAAATACGGTATATTGTCGACGACGAAATGGTCGTGACTTACCGTTATACATATAACTCTGTGCTCTACCAATTGCTGATTTACGTATCACCAATGTATGCATAGTAGCAGGCACTGGTTTTTGGCCATATTGGAGATATCTTCAAGGAAAGTGGCGAAGCCCATTCTGCCTCTTCCCCTACTTTGCTCTAAAGCCTATGAATTCAGATTCCATAGTAGACCTTAGCAATACAAAGTCTGTTTGGAAGATTCCAAATACAGTCGCCCCACCAGAGTAAAGACATACCCAACTGGTGGACTCGAGTCTCTGTATCCGATATCCAATTTGACACACAGTATCCTTCAAGTACTGCGGGATATTACTAGTATAATTCAGCCCCAATGTTACGCAGTAAATCGGCCAGATATCTTAGAAACCCTTTAATTGCTTTCAAGTGTTCTTACTCCGGAATTCTCGATACCTACTTATATTTACTTACGCATTAGCTATATCTGGGCGAGATGCAGTCATGCAAAGTACATTAAAGCTTCCAATAATTTGGTCATACTCTAATTGAGAAATACTTTCGCTGATACATTTTTAGAAAGATACGAAATAACATTACAGGTGTTTCTAGCTAGATGATCATCATCTTATGCTGAATTTGCAAAGTTTTTTCTCCAATGTAATGCAAGATTGGACAAAGCATATCCTTCTGATGTTTTGGTAATTTTCATACCAAGAATACATCAGCAAATGCCCCATGTCCTTCATGTCCAAAAATGTTTATTCAACATTTTCTGCGGTAGTTTTAATCATATCATTATTACTACCTATGATGAGCATATCATTCATACATAAAAACATACCAAGCACATAACCTTTATCTGTGTTTGTTAATAGAAACACATTTGTCACACTCATTAATTTTAAACCATATGTGACATCATTGCCTTGTCGAATATTTTATATTGCCATTGCTTTTGGCGCTTGTTTAAAACCATATAATGATTTAACCAATTTACACACTTTTCTTTTCATTCCCTGCGAACAGAAAAACCCTTGTTCGTTGTTCCATGTAAATTTCTTTCATTTAACCTCACCATTTAAGAAAACGGTGTTTAACATCCAGTGATGAAATTTCTAGATGTATAAGAGATGCAATGCCAATTAGCATTCTAATGGATGTTATTCTAGTAACCGGTGGTACGTGTCAAAAGTAATCAAGACCTTCTTTTTGTCTAAATCCTTTGACTACAAGTCTTGCCTGTATTTGTCAATTGATCCATCCGCTTTCATTTCCTTTTGAAAATCCACTTATATCAAGAGGTTTACAACCTCGGTGGTTAAGTCCACTAGTTTCCTTAAGTGTGATTTTGCCCAGATGGCAATTCAACTTTCACTGTTGATAGCTTCCTTTCCCATTAAAGGAGCTCAGGAACTGGACATAGCCTGTTTAAAAGTTAAAGCTCATTTTCTAAACAAATTATGTTAGAAAATCTGGACAAAAGATTTTAGGTTCTTAGCACGTTTACTACGCCTAGTTCCTCTTCTTCATTTTTTGATCTAAACTCTTGTTCTTGATCATGTTCTTGCATCCTTTACTAGTTATAGCCATCAAAAGATCTTTTCTTATACTAGTCTCTTGTTCCCAATCTTATTCGAAATACATGTTCAAAGAAACGATGATTTCGAGATTCAAAATAATAGTATTTTACATGCATTTCGGAATGTTCTATTTATTTGTTTGGATTTATTTCTATTTCTTTTATTTACACAGAAGATTGTTCCAACACATCCAACATGCTACTTGTTTTCTTTTGCCTTCATTTTCTTCTTGTTTCTAAAATACAGCCAAAATGTGGATTTCTTCCAGATTTAAGATTCATATTTGAAGAAAATGCCATTAAAAAGAGAATAACTCAAATAAATTGCTTCTGATACTAGGCACTAGGGAGGCCCTTAAGCATAGTTCTAAATATCGGCCGATACGCTACGTATCAGCCGATATGTATCAGAAAAATGGGGTGCCGCGACGGATACAGGCCAATATACCACTGAGATTAAAAATCGCAGGAGTATCGGCCGAGTCCCGGTACGTATCGGCCTGTAAGCGTTACACAAGCCGTTACACAAGCCGCGACGGGCCGATACTCACCGGTTCGGACCGGTACAGGAAAGAAAAAGTTGAAAAACCTTTGAAATGATTTTTAAAATTTCACCACCGCGACACCCGATTCCCGATACGTATCGATCGATACTACCGATACCGATACTCCGCGATCGATACCGTTACGTTACCCGATACCGCGATTTAGAACCTTGCCCTTAAGTCTTGCTATGTAACAGGCTAGTCTGCAATGGCATTATTAGATTTCAAGGTTTAACTCATGCATTGTGCTTTGCAGGTAGTATTCCTTGTTAGCCGTGAATCAAATTGCCTTTATTCCGTATGAATATAGTTTTGACTGTAAGGGGTTGTTTGGGTGGGTTGGTTCTCTGCCTGGTAGTGTCTAGCAGATGATGTTTAGCAGCATTGCAACTTGGGTTTGGTTTTTGGTCTGTCTCTCTCGTTGGTTTCTCACCAACGTTGGGGTGCTAGCAAATGATAGGATGGGTTTTTTGGTGCCAACCTAGTTGGAATCATTTAGTTCATCGTGATGCTCCTGCACTCCTCTTTTCTTTATTGGTGTAATTTCGTACCTTGTACTAGTCTTTACATCAATGAAGTATCTTTTTTGCTGATAAAAAAAAAAGGGGGGTTGTTTGGGATGTTCTAAATAAGTGCACTTTTTGACTTTTTATGAAATATGGGTTGGATATGGGTTGGGTTTGAAGTGATGTGGTAGAGAGGTGATATGACTTAAATAAGATGGTGTGACTTAAATAAGATAGTAACTTTTTGACTTTTTTAGAGGATGACAAACCAGGCCTAAATCTATGTTTGTAATTGTGAACTTATTGTACAATCTAAGGTAGTTTATTTGTCAGTGCAAGGTGTTATGTGGTAGTTTGTGACCACTAATGGTGTTGTGAATTGTCTGCTCTATTATTCATCCAATTATGATGGGCATGGATCTTTTTATGGCTTTCAGGTCCACCTAATCATGAAAGCCATTGATTACTTATTTCCTGCCCCCTCGCCAATAAAATATAAATAAAAATAAAAAATAAAAAGAAAATTGATATAGTGTAAGTTCTTTGTGCACCGTTTGGATCTGGCTTTCGAGGCATCCACATTGTATTTTTGAAAATTCAATATAAGGAAAAGTGAATTCCAAATTTTGAGAACAGTGTCGAACTAATGATGCCATTTTTCGTAGTTAATGGTTTATAAATTTATTTCCTTTCGTGGTTGCTACACTTAATTTAACTAATAAAGGTTGTCCTTTCATGGTAATGCAGCTAATAGCTTGGATCAAATGAAGGATCAGGATCAGGATCTGCTATCCCATCTATTGAGAAACCTTACTAGTACTGATGGCTCACTTAATGGGAGGAACATATCTGGATTATTGCCTGGTTTTCAAGACTTGCAAAATGCTGGGATGTCTCTTGGAACTCCAGAAAAGGTTCCAGATCTGATTTCAAACGGTCCTAAATGCACCTCAATGCTTGGTTCTATTTCTAAGAAGGATGTTTGCATTGATATTCAGGATCCTCTGCGGCCTAATGGACAATGTATGGCATTTGAAGGGACAGAGAAGAGAACTATCACAGACAATACACAGGGTGGACTGTTTCAAACTCCATATGCAATTCCGTGTCCTACAAGAGACAACATTCCTTCCAAAGCAAGTGTCTCAGACAATGGAGTGGGAAGGATGAAATTGAATGACATAGACTTGAATACTGTTTACAATGATTCTCAGGATTGTTCAGAAAACCTGGAGAGTTATCATGCTCCTGTAAATCTGGGGATTGGGTCTCTTTATTGCACTTTACAGGGACATCATGACGGTCAGAAGTCAAGCCCTCTTCAGACAAGTAGGAATACAGGCTCCACATCCACCCAGTCACTATCTAGTTTGAGCATGTTAGTAATGGGCGCCCATGTGGCATGACCATTTGAATTTGAATTTGGAATCCTATCCAAATAGGTTTTGAAATTGAATTCAAACCTATTTAGAATAACCACTCAAGATACAGATATTATCAGTTTTAACTGATATGGATAGATATAATAATATATTATATATCTGATATATGGTTATGGGTAATCAAGAGAGAAACAACGTATGATCTGTTTCTACCCATATACTGACTCTCTCCTGAAAACAAACGATCAAGTCATTTGTACTGTGATTTGTGTGGGTGATATTCAATCTGTGATATCACTTCACTGCTGGGTTGGTTTATCAGACTCTGGAAGCACGTGATTTATCCACGAGGTTCTATCATCATAAAGGTATGATCTAAACATTTTATCCGCTGCATATTTTGTACTTTTGATTTACATTGGTATCAGAGCCATT